ATTTATTTTTTTCCGTTTTTTTTTTTAAGATCCATCATTTTGGGACATAGGTTTGAATAAAAGACATATTTACATATGGATATATATGCATAATGTTGAACTTTTTTTTTTTTTTTCGTTGGCCGATAAGACATTGGTTTTGGACTTTATACAGACACCAGATGCAGTGCTACCCAAAAGAAAAAGGTTTCTGATGCCATCATAGGAAGGTGTATTTGTCACCTTTAAAAGAATCAAATGATGGGGTAAATTGTGATATAGTGAATAGTATTCAGTTGTTAATCTGATCTTAACATGGCACTACTCTTTAAAACTGTTTCTAGGTCACTTATATGACTGCAGTCTTCATCTTGTAGGAGCCTGTATCATTTTGATCATATTTTTTCAAAACTGCCATGTATTTCTTTGGGGCTAAAACTTTTTAAAGTAGATAAATGCACACTTAGTTCACCCTGAACAAAAGTAAGAATTCAAAACAGAGTAAAAAGAAGTGAGATCCAATAGTCTTCTGTGGAGAGATACCTGCTTCAATGTACTTATGGCAGAAGTCGCTGCTTGTAGATGTTTTAAGTGTATCTGTGCCCTACATTAGCACATCTTTGCTTTATATTCCATGCAGAACTCTTGACTGTGTGCTTTTCTGCATGTACAGTCAGTTTCAAGTCCCCCCACACCACTTCTGTGAGGTTGAGATCTTGGATTTCAATCGATAGCCCAGCATTTCGTCTTTTTTGAGACTATTTTTGTGGTTTTGCTGGAGGGTTTTGAGTTATTTTATTGCAAGGCCTGCTTTGTACATGTCTACATTTCAGCTTTAGATTTTTGACAGACTGTCTCACGTGGTTTAGTCCTCTGGTACAATGTGGTATTCATGGTTTACTCTATGATGCCAAGCTGACAGGGCCTGAGGCAGAAAGTAACCCCAAACCAATAAAGCTTCCACCAGCACGCTTTACAGTTGCTGCGAGGGTCTTTTTATCAAAGCCGTCAAAGCACTTTTTGGTCTCCACATATCTGGCATTGTGACCAATCGGCTCTACCTTTGTCTCATCTGTCTAGGACATATTGTTCCATTAGTTCTGATTCATAACTGTTTGTAGACCTGTATTAAAAATTAAAAACGAAAATTGCTTACCTGCATAAGTAATTAGGACTTTTTCTATGATATTAAAATTTAGTTCCTGAGATAACTGCCTCAGGCTTCCAAGGCACCTTAAAAAATTTATTTCAGTTTACATCTTCTTTATATGGTTTTTAATAAAGTTAGATTGTTTTAATATATTAATTATATTATTAATGTTAATAATAATATAACTAATTTTAAGTCATCCTGCAGCTCTCTTTTTGCTGAAGGCTGCCACAAGAAAATATTTAATAAAAAAAAATGTGTATTTCTAAGTTGAAATTGTGTCATGTTGAAACATTGGGAATTTATAAATAATTTTATACTCCTTACGATGCCATTTTTGTTCTTTCCACCAACCACCAAGCCTCATGCACAGATATGGGATATCAAAGAAGGAATACATATATTCTACCTTCAAAAGCCAACCAGATGAAAGCATCTTAGTAGACTGGATTTTATGCAAAAATTGGATTCAGACATGCCTGGCTGCCTTCTTACCTCTGTGTAGGCAGCATTTTTTAGGCTGCGATTTACCACATTCCTGTGTGTGTAGGTCTGATGGTGAGGTTAAAAGAAGTCAATTAATTAATACATTTCAACATGATTTTTATACTGAAACATGAGCAATAAAACTGGTAACACTTTAAGGACCAATTCTCACTATTAACTGGTTGCTTATTAGCATGCATATTACTAGTATATTGGCTGTTTATTAGTACTTATAAACCACATATTAATGCCTTATTCTGCATTACCAAATTTGATATCCATTAACCCGACCCAATACTTTAAATTATCAGGAAATTTTTTATCTGGAAATGAACTAATCCTTTAATAGTTAGTATGGTAGTTGTTAAGTTTCTCACCCCCATGTTATCCAAAGCTGGGATCGTGTAGAACCCTTTGAAGGTGCATTGAAACTGCAATTTGGACCTTAAACCCATTGGCTCCCATTGAATTCCACTCACTATATGGTGAAAAATCCTGGAATTTCTTTTCAACTGAAGAAAGAAAGACATGAACATCTTGGATGACATGGGAGTGAGTAAGTTATCAGGAAATGTTATTCTTGAAGTGAAGTAATCCTTTAATAAGCAGCAAATTATGACTTTATTGAGGGAAAACTCTTAGTTAATAGTGAATATGTGTTCTATTCTAAAGTGTTACCCTGAAAGCATTAAATGACATCATGGGGCCTGTATGAAACCAGTTTCCTTAGGACGTGTCCTCATGCATGAAACTAGGCAGCAGCACAACTGACTTTGGGCATATAAAGTCTATATAAAGTCCCAGAGTTCACAGTGCATGGCGGAGCAAAACCTGCACCAAGTTCAAATATCTCTTCATAAACCTATAATAGAGTTGTGTCAGTGTATAAATGTGGATGCCAGTGTAAAAAAAATGATAGTATTAAAGGTTCACAGGAGCACAGTGACCTCCATTATTGCTCAATGAAAGGTTCTGAAGCTGCTACAACTCTTCATGAATATGGCAGTTTGGCCAGATTGGGCTTTTGGCCTAGTCTGGCTATCGTTAACAAGAATCCAAGGCCTCATCACAGATGTTTAGAGCTTCTTTGAAGATGTCAGTGTTGTGGGATTGAAAGTCTAACAAGGTAAGCATCGTAAGAATGGCCGGTCAATTTCAAAACTATCTTTTGGAAAGAAACATTTATACAACCAGCATCTGGAATACCAATGGAAGCCACATATCCCATGCAGGCTTATTTCCAGACTTAAAGGCCCGTTCACACCAAGGACGATAACTGTAAAGATAACGATAAAGATATAGTTCTAAAAATCGTTCTCAATATTAAAGAATAGCAGAGTCCACACCACAACTATAACGATAAAGACAAAGAGAAACGATATCGGAGCTCAAGAATTTAAAGCGGCAGACGCATGTGCGCTTAGAATAAACGGATGATATCATTCGCTGGTGTGGACGCTAATATCGTTATCTTTATAGTTATCTTTATAGTTATCATTCTTGGTGTGAACGGGGCTTAAGTATTCCATTTGAACTTCCAGACATGGTGACAGGGGCATCTCTCCCTTCATTTGCTTGTTAACCTCCTCAAGTGACGAGTGCATTGTGACTGCAACCTCAGCTGTCGCACACAGATTGGATCCTTTTCTCTCTCCTGTCTTTTGTTTTCGGTCTTTGTATTGGCGTTTTTGATCAGTGTGCCTGTGTTCCCCTGTTCAATCTGTCACATCTCTTTGTGTCTCTGCCGGTGCCCAGATCCTACGTCAATCTCTCTTTGTTTGACACAATAAAAAAATAGAATTAGATTTTAACATTTTCTGAAGAAAACATGAATAGTTGCCCCTCCAGAACTCACTGCCACTCTGCTACAGTGTTGCAGTAGTCATTACAGTGCGACTGCTAAGGTGTTGTTGTGCAGTTGCTAGGGTGTTTTGTGTGATTTCTAGGTGGTTTCTTCCTGGACCACCATAATGTAAGTTTAGCTTGCCCATCAAAAGTCATCTTCACAATGCGAGGGTGATGTGGGTGGTTGTCAGGGTGTTATGTTGTTGCTAGGTGTTTGCTAGAGCATTGGATGTGTTGTTGTATACTATTCCAAGTCAAAAGAGTCCACCAAAATTGTGAGAGATGCTTGCCCATGCAAAAGTTACTTCCAGAGTGCTAGGTTAATGTAGGAAGTTTCCAGGGTGTTGTTGTGCTGTTGCTAGGTGGTTATTTTCTGTTCCAAATTTTGTAAAAAAAACAAAAAACAACCAAGCCCACCATAAAGTAAGTTGTGCTTGCCCAAAAGTTAATGTTAGTGATGCTTGTTCATGCAAAAGTCACCTCCATAATACTACAGTGATGTGGGTGGTTGCCAGGTGTAAGGTGTTTCTTGGTTCTAGGTGATTTCTAGTGCATTGCTAGTTTTTTTATTTTTTTGTTTACTGGTCCAAGTCTCTGGTTTCTAGGGCATCATTAAGTGTTATTTTCTGTCCCAAATTTTAAAAAGCCCACCATAATGTAAGTTGTGCTTGCTTGCCCATCAAAAGTGAACTTAAAAATGCTAGGGTAAAGTGGGTGTTTGTCAGGGCACTGTTATGCTGTCATTAAAGTGTTGCTAGGTGGTTACTAGGGCATTGCTAGATAGCCTAGTTATTAACTGTCCCAAATAAAAAAATCAAACCATAATCTCAATGATGCTTGCTTATGCAAAGGTTACCTCCACGGTACTATGTTCATGTAAGTAGTTGCCTGGGAGTTGTTGTGCTGTTGCTAAGGTGTTGCTAGGGCATTGCTAGATGGTTAGCTAATCAAAAAGCC